TTTAATCTATCATCTAAACATTTTAAGGTGGTTTCAGGTACCAAAACAAGACAATACAAAAAACACATTGAGTATATATTCAGTTGAATAGATTACACTCTAAAAAAATCTTGCCAAGCATTTTAAGACAAGAATCATTTCATGGCATATTATGCCATGGCAGAAGGCAAAACTTTTAATAAAGTGGATGGTTCTCATCTCCTAAAATGCACATTCTATATGACTCTCACCTCATACACGTGCGCAATACTGTTAAGATTTGTGTCCAAGATCTTTTGAGCTAGATGAACATTTTTTGTTTTTACTTGTCACCCTCAGATGACCATACCAACATATAACTGCAAAAGTTCTTCTGAAAATATTTTTTGTTTATAAATGTGTGAAAACATTTCGTTATAATTCCATATATTAGCATTTAGAGTAATTATTTATTTGTTTGTTTGTTTGTTTATTTGTTTGTACTTTAGAATATGACAGTTGGTCAGAATTTGTTGTCAGAAATGTTTTCATTTACTGTCTTATCATTCAGACCTTTATTATTTTTTTAATTGTATTTTAATAAGTACTTTAATAGGTATTTTCATTTTCTCATTAATATATCTGTTTCGTTAATTCATCTTTTTAATCTTCACGGACTTTGTTTGAAACATATAAAGTGATTATTTTTTTCCTCTCCAAAATGTGTCTATAGGTCCTTAAACTCGTCTGTAATGTAAAATTGATAAAAACCTCCAGTGACTACTTATGCACATTTCTGAAAGTCTAACTTAAAAAACACTGCTGATCTCTGCGAAGTTTCTCATTGGTTGTGCGCCTGTCAATCAAACTCTGTGACGCCGTTCATTGGTGCGCTCAATTCATTCCTCCACTGACGCCATCCAGGAAGAGCCGCTCAGTTGTGCGAAGTTTGTCAGGTAGCTTAGCTAATGGAGTCGATAGCTAGAAGTAAACACAAGTGGCCTTAGAATGTTTTACCGTCTTATCCATTGATGTACATAAGGTACGTACATGGCGGCATCATATTTAGATACGTTACAATATAGCGACTGCCGATGTTAAGCTGTTCTGTGCTGTATGTCTTTTATTTCGAGGAGGCCTCAATGAGGCTAATAATTTGTTAGCCAAGCAAGGTGATTAGCAGTGATTGAAACTAACCTGCTGTTATGCTCTATTGCATCTGTTACCTGATATTTTATAGTTTCTGTATTGAATTAGATGCAACATTTTACTTAAGCATGCTTACAGTTGATTATTTAATAGTATGTGGATGTAAGAGAAGTTGTCATAGTCATAGTTTATAGTTGACAGCACCATGGATGTGGTTAGTATACTATTTACATACTTTGTGTCATGTAGTTTTCCTGTCATGTTTTTGCCTCTGTAACGTTATCTTGACTCTAACTTGTGAATGAGAAACAGTTATATCTAATTTTATGGTGTATGCTGTTGTAAGTGCTTTGACAATCTATAATTTCTACCTTCACATCCTGGATGACTGAACGACAGGTGACGCGTTTATTGTTTATCGAGCTCTTGCATCACAATGAGACCCTTTAAGAATCAAAATTAAGTGCTTACTGTAACAAGACTCTCTTATGAACTTGAACTCTAACCTCTTTTTAGTCGTGGGAGTCTATTAGTGCACTTAGTACATTAACACTGGCGTTTAACTGCATGCTAATATAAAATAACAGGTTTGATGATGGGAATGCTTATTTTTGTACAAATAAAAACAAAAAAATACTATTTTAAAGTACAATTACAACGTATGAAAGAGAAATAAAGATGGGGGTACTCAATATTGTACTACAAATTTAAAAACCATTGAATGTCTTAAATCTTTCACTTTCAAAACATTGAAACTCCTTGATGTTCGAGATTTTATTTTGTTGCAAATCTGCTGAAATGCTGTAAAAGCATATTAAGAAAATTGTTGTAATACATGTTAATTTCTTAAGTAAGGGGCTCATTGGTTTATTAAATTAATATTAGCTGTGTTCACACTATCATTTGGTTCTAAAGGCTCGTTTTGACAAAAATGAAAGTGAGTTTAGTCCTGGTATGCTTAAGAATGACTTAAAAAAGTGGGCTATTTAATGTCATATGTTTTTTAACAAAAACTATGGAACATTAAAAAAGCAATACTGTTTGCTGGACGAAATGTGTCCATTTCATGTTCATACTGCGTGTGTAATGGTGTATATATCAGTTATGCTTTAAATTAGCTGAGAACTCTTGGAAAGCTTGCAAATGTGTAAAGCGCTTGTGAATTCCGGCTTAACTTTGTTTCTTGTTAAGATGAATTTCCAGTCACTTAATCAAAATGTAATGGGCAACTATCCACATAGTTTTGTGCACATCTTGAAAATGGTTGATGGAAACTTCAAAAATGTTTGCGCATTAACTTAGTATGATAAACTATTTTTTATTAAAAAAAAATGTGCATAAACTACAATGGAGACACGTTTAGCGACAAACTCTACTTCAGTATGCGCATTAAAAGTCATGTGATTTCATGTGATGATAAAAATGTGTGTGAATGGTCAAATCAGCAGGCTGAGCACATTGTAAAACATCTGGAAATGTTGTTTTGGTCATTCTAAAACGCCTTAACCGTTTCAGTATTTGTGTTATTATATTTTTAATTATCTCCAGAACTTTCAAGAATGTCTGTGCTCTGCGTCTCATGCCTTTAAACACCACCACGCGTTCATTGCATGTCAGCATTTGTCCTCTGAGGTGCAAGTAATTTATTAAATAAGAAAAAGATTCATGAAGCCTTTATTTGCATGTCTTTTATGCGATACTCCAGTTTTGGGCATACATTTAGTTTGCATCTTTGGATGGAAACATACTATAGCTACAACTGTCCAGCATCGTCATTCTGTCCTTTTTAGGGTTTCATGTCCTGTTTTTAGATTGTTTAGTTTTGTTTTTTGGTCTATGTTGTGCTCATATTACATTTAAACCTAGGCATGGGCCGGTATAAGATTCTGACGGTATGATAACTTTGGATAAAAATATCACGGTATTATGCTCACTGCTCTAAATTATGTTGTTTTTAAATGTCTGGTTAAAAAACTATTTTTTTTTTCCTGTTTGAAACAATATATTCTATTGCTTTGAAAGATTTATGATATTTTGGAACAGTAAACATAGTAAACGTCAGGCTAAATAATTCAAATGAATCATAGACTTCTGCTGTCTTCATTAGTTTCAAAAACACAGATTTCTTTACAATTTAAAACAGCATCTTTGGATATTTTTTTCTATTGGAGATACTGTTCGAAGAAAACCTTGACTTTTTCAAACCGCGGTATTTTTACCTTGAAAACGGTTATTGTCCTATGCCTAGTTGAACCACACCAGACTTCATTTGGAAGTGGTTCAAGAACTAACTTTTTTTAGTGAATTTGGTCCGTTTTCTTAAACACATCAAGGTTCAGATGACAGTTTTCACATTTTCTCAAATAAACCACACTAAATTGCACTAGAGTTCATTTGAATCAAACCAGATCTTCCAAGTGTGTGAACACATCCTAAAATGTACAGCCACAGACAGTGGTTTAGTTGCTGAGAATCTGCAGTTTAATCTGAAAGGTATTTTTTTTTCAATAAATAATGCAGCCAAATGTTTTATATTTTATATTTATATTCAATTTAATTAAAGATTTTATATTTAAAACTATCTTGTAGTTCCAAAAAAAGCTCCTAGGGCTTTGTAAACCCCATTTGGGAATTCTTGCTAAAAAGGGGTAAGAAAATGGATTTGTGTTTGCTTTTTTGTTTTCACATAATTTCCTATTATATTTTTCTTCTAAAAAAAAGTCTTATTTCTTTTTGTTTGGCTGAAATAAACAAATTATAATAGAAAACATTCCAAGGACAATATTATCAGCTCCCTTAAGAAATTAATATTTTTTTGATTGCCTACAGAACAAGCCATTCTTGTCCAGCGACTTGAATTTTAACCTAACTTAGTTGAGCCTTTAAATTGCACTGTAATCATAATACTAGCATCTTGCAAAATAATTAGTTAAATATTATGTAATTTCAACGTTCAAGATTCAAAGTGTTTGTCATTTGCACAGAACAGAACAGGTTCCCTGTATAATGAAATTCTTACATTGCTGTCCACACTGAATGCCAATAAAGTTTAATGTGTATTAAAAATATTAAATGCTTATTTAACAAAATAGGCATGTGAAAAAATAAACATTAATATAAACTATGAAATAAATAATGTATATAGAAGGTTTTATACACATAAATGTGTAAATGTATAAATTACTACACAAAATCCATGAAGAATGAATCAATACTGTGCAAAACATTTTCACTACACAAAACATTGCAAATAGACCAAATAATGTAATGCTTAGAAATTAGTTATTACAATTATTATGTTTAAAAAATGTGTTGAAATGTAAAAATAAAATATGTTTTTCCAGCTCTTTTATTTTATTTGAATAGCTGGAAATATAATAAAAAAATAATATGTAATAATAGTTTATTTTCCTTTAACTGTATCTCAGCTCCTCGATTCAAAACCCTAAAAACCAACAGCATCTGTTTTCTGCTCCACAGTCCTCTAAGATGGATGACGTCAATTTACACTACAGATTCCTGAACTGGCGGCGCAGGATCAGAGAAATCAGGGAAGTTCGTGCCGTACGATATCAAGAGCGATACAAACGAATGTTGAAGAACGGAGACACGCTAAGGTAGGCTTTGCCCAGCGACTGACCCTTACTCTGTTCTTTTTCCATTGTGTTTGGAAATTAGTTTCTGGCTTGGAATTCATGTGTTGACCCCCCTCGTTTGTATGGAAAAATTCTGGACTGCTTTTCATTTATCTTTATTTATTTGTACATTTTTGAATTGCACAACCGCCCCAGCTCCATCAAATATCAGTGGACTAGGCTAGTGCAAAGCAATGTGAGTGTGCGTGTATTTGAACTAAGAAACGTAATCAGCCTCGACTCAGTTGACCTCGCTGATTGAAGCAATTATAATTTCAGAGAAAGTCCGCAGCTACTTGTTTTTATTTGGTTCTCAAAAAAGATGAAAAGCAAACTCGATCCATTGGAAAAATAAATAGGCCTTGCACATATGATGTTGTAACTCCTTTTTTTTTTTTTTTTTTTTAAAGATGGATGTAACTGACATGGATGTACAAAAGTTTTTTGAAGAACGACAAGGGGGTATAATCTGAGAGAAGAACTAAATTTTAGGAGGTTGAAAACAAGAATAACTTTAAAAAGTTTGTGTATGTCTGTCTGTGGTGTAAAACTATGGAACAGTCTAGATCAGACTCTAAAACAACGTCAGGATATTATTCAATTTAAAAAACTATATATATATATATATATATATATATATATATATATATATATATATATATATATATATAGTTTTATATATACTTCATTATCGTTTTATCATTTTATATAGTGATATTTATCGATATCGAAATATCGCCTAGCCATATATATATTTATATATAGGGCTAGGCGATATAGAAGATAATTCGATATTTATCACGATATAAAATTTTTCAATAAAACGATAATGACAGTTCGATAATTGCTTGATAATATTTACACACTATGTGTAACGTTGCGCAAGCATTTTGCAGTCTGCCCTTCCGGATACCGCACGCCTTACAAGTTTAGCCATACAGTGTTAGTTGTACTTAAGAGAGTAAGAAAAAAAGGGTTAAAAAGGTCAGAGCCACAGACAAGAAACGTCACTAGACCTTAGTCATGTGCTTTGTAGTTTTTTGCTATCCGACACAAAATAGCAACGTGCACTGCAAACTGCTCAGATGACTTGTGTCATCAAAAGCAGGCAACACCACAAGCCTGTTTCACCATTTAAAACAAGACCACCCTTATGAAGATGCTAAGAATTTACAGACCTAAAGAAGTGCTGGTAAACCAGGGCAACTACCCAGCAGAGTCTCATGTCATCATTTTTGAAAGCCGTGCCTTACGAGAAAACCCCCCTGAAAAGACAGACGAAAGATATGACAGACAACACAATCTCAAACACATCCCAATGAACACTTGAAGCTTGCTCTACAGGCCGTCTCTACAGTCAAGTTTGGGGAAGGAAAAATTTTGGTTTGGGGTTACATTCAGTATGGGGGAGTGGGAGAGATCTGCAGAGTGGATGGCAACATCAACAGCCCGAGGTCTCAAGACATTTGTGCTGCCCATTACATTACAAACCACAGGAGAGGGCAAATTCTTCAGCAGAGTAGCGCTCCTTTTCATACTTCAGCCTCCACATCAAAGTTCCTGAAAGCATAGGAAAGCATGCTCTTGGCATTAAAGATAAATCCAAAAAGTCTTGATGAACTCTGGGAGTCCTGCAAGAACAATTTCTCTGCCATTCCAGATGATTTTATTAATAAGTTACTTGAGTCAGTGCAGAGATGTATGGATGCAGTCCTCCAAGCTCAGGGGAGTCAAACACAATATTAACTCTTTTTCCACTGCACCATGACTGTATATTCTATACTGTACATTATTTCCTGTTAAGTGACAAGACTCTTGTCTAAGGAAAATCAAACTTTACTGTCCTAATTAAATAATTAATATTGAGGCATGATCATATTTTATTTTGGTAAAATAAGCGTAATCTAGAGGCGTTTGCCTTTCATATAAGCCACTTCTGATACCAAATCATCAACTAGAAGTCAACTTATTATTTGTTGTTACTAAAACTTGGATAGGCATCAGGACTTTTGTCAGGTAGTGTACAAGAGGCATCATTGTAGAAAAAAATGCTCAGCTTTTATTTATATTTGAACAAAATATTTCTGTAAGTGTGTGTGTGTGTGTGTGTATGTGCGCATCTACTAAAGTTTACATAAGTGATTTTTATGTTCATTTAAACATGTTAAGTGCAAGTGATGTGTGTAATATTTTAACTTTAATTTGAAAGAAACTTTGAACTTGCAAGAAAATGTCAATATACGGCAATAATAATCTTCCATCATTATTCAGTGGAACACATGCTGTATATTTATGTCAATATGAAACCTCATCATTTGGATTGTAGCAGCACTATGCTCCTTAAATAGTATTTTTATATGTCATCAAATGATTTTTGTCCTAAATAAGCCTGAAGAATATTTTTGTGTATTGTTACACTGCATGACAAACGGTTTCATTGAAAGCTCAGTGACAGTGGGATCTCTCGAAAATAGTTCTGGTTTGAATCCTTTGGAAAATTTGCTCCATTTTGGTTTTATAAATGACTTAGCTCTCACTTGCATCAATGTGAAGCATGTAGAAACACAACTGAGGCTAAATTCTGCAGCTCGTCCACACATCACTGGACATTTGAATCATGTGCCTATAGCAACAGTGTTCTGGTTATTAGAGATTAAGCTTTTTATTACTTCCCGTCTATAGTTACCAAGGGAACTCTGATGAAGTTGGCTGCTACGTGGCTCCACGCCCCTTATCAAAGGGAAACTGTTACTTTGAGGTAAGCAGCACACCTATGTTGTCGGGTTGCTAAAAACATTCAAATAATTTCAACACCCATTCTAATGCCTTTGTTAAGAAACCTCAGTGTTAATAACTTCATGTAACTTTAATACTCAGAGATTTTAAGCTGTTTATATTTCAATTGTTAACTACTTAAAGGGATAGTTCACCCAAAAATGAAAATGTACTCACTATTTACTTTCCCTCACGTGCTTCTAAACCTTTATGATTTCTTTAGATTTGTGTTGAACACTGAAGAATATATTTTGAAGAAAGCTGAAACCTGTAACCATTGATTTTCACAGTATTTGTTTTTCCTTCTATGGAAGATAATGGTTACAGGTTTCTTCAAAATATCTTCTTTGGAAGAGAAAGAAAGAAAGAAAGAAAAGACTCACGTTTTTAGGTGAACTTTCCCTTTAATGTAATGTTTAAGTTCAGTATAGTTTTGTTGATTTCTTATTTGCTGCTTCTAAAGTGTCTTGTGCTTATGTTTTTGATTTACTAAATGTTTGTTTTGCATCTTGTCTTCAATTAAATGCTATTTTCACAGCATTTTCAGCTAATCTTTTTTGTTAGTAGAGCATTCAAATTTTAGTAATGAATATTTCAAATGGTTCTATATTTATTCTATAGTTGCTCTCTGTCATTAATCTGATAGAATTTGAGATATAAATGATTCTTGAGTTATTAGCATAGGGCCGTGTCATGATTTTATTTAGAAGTCAGTGTGTTTTAAAATGTCTTCAATTTCAAAAACTACATTTTAAGGCTTGTCTGTTAGACTCAGCCTGGACAAAAGAAATGCAATATGCCTTTTTGCAATATAATATTGTATTTTTTTGTCATTATTATTTTTATTATTATTATTATTTATTTGTTGTTTATTAAATTACAATTTAATTCTATTTACTATTATTTTTATTTTATTTTATTTTTCATGTGGGGGCCTGAACTCAAATTACATGTATGACAGATACTATCTTTCTACTCAATGTAATTTTCTGACATGTTTTTTGCACTAAAAATGTTCAATAAAAATATATTTGAAGAAAAAAAAAGCTACATTTTAGGCCTTAAAAAGTGTTGAATTCACTGAACTTTTGTCATGTAGGTCCTAAATAATTGTGAACAGGTCTTCATTTTCCTATATCGATCTAAAGCTACCCAATTGGGCCAACAATCATCCAATCACCAACAACCCATCTCAATAGAACATTAAACAAATCTCTATTTATAACTTTATTGATGAGTTGTAACTTTAATATGGTTTAATTTTCGTCCTTACAGTAATATTTGTTTAAAAGTTCTCTCTATATTTACGGTCCATATATGGTGAGGACACTGACCTGGACAGACTGTTGTGCATACATTTAGTTTATTATAGTTTTAAAGATAAGTTCTGTTAAAAAATGTGTATGCATACAATTAGGGTTTGCTTGTTTTGACAATTTACTTAAAATATGTGCCCTTGAAATAACTAATTATAATATATAAAGAAATCTCGTATAAACCTGAAATTTCCTTTACATTTACATTTAGTCATTTAGCAGACGCTTTTATCCAAAGCGACTTACAAATGAGGACAAGGAAGCAATTTACACAACTATAAGAGCAACAATGAATAAGTGCTATAGGCAAGTTTCAGGTCTGTAAAGTCTAAGAAGGAAAGTATTAGTAAATTTATTTATTTTTATTTTTTTTAGAGTACAGTTAGTGGTATATCCAGAGAGGCAATTGCAGATTAGGAAGTGAAGTGAAGACTAAATAGTTGAGTTTTTAGTCGTTTCTTGAAAAAAGCGAGTGACTCTGCTGTTCTGATGCAGTTAGGGAGTTCATTCCACCAACTGGGCAGATTGAGCGCGAGCGTTCGGGAAAGTGATTTCTTCCCTCTTTGTGATGGAACCACGAGGCGACGTTCATTCACAGAACGTAAGTTTCTGGAGGGCACATAGATCTGCAGAAGTGAGAGCAGATAAGAAGGGACGCAGCCAGAAATCGCTTTGTAAGCAAACATCAGAGCTTTGAATTTGATGAGTAATGGTCTTAAAAAAGTCTTAAGTTGTAACTTTGTGAAACCTGCAAAAACCGTGAAAGTGTCACCAACAAATTTCAGATGCTGCTGGTAATGTTTCCTGTGCCTCTTCATGTCAAAATAGACAGCGACCTTTGAGTTGGTGCACTCAAATATCATCGCTACCTCTCTAGCAACTTTGGCATAAAATAAAGTTTTGGAAAGGAAGCTCCCAGGTGATTTAGTGCCGGAAAACTCGCAGGGATTGGGCTATAAATTAGCCTTTGGGAGAGGGCAAGCGTTCTTTAATTTATGAAGCTCTGCCGAAGCTGCCTGGATGTGTATCTGAGGCAGGAGACAGCTCTGATGGGTTTTCTGCTGCTGGCAGATTGAGCTGGTGTGATGAACTTCCTCTCCGGGGGACTGGAGCAGGAAAGTAACACCCTGTACGCTACCATGATGATTCCTAGCACAGCTAGTGTTTGTTTTTGTTGTGCCATTTATTTTGAAGAAAAAAAAGATCCTATTTAGTCATGTCAAAGAGAATGGCAATGTCTGTTATGGCGAGTTGCTTTCAATGTGTTTTGGAAATGCACAGGAGAGCACAATGCAAATCTCCACAGAAAAAGCAGTCAGTTTGGTAGTTATACCTTTCGAAAAACATCTTCCAAACAACTAGGAAACCAAACTGTTAAACATATTCTTGTGGAATGCCATATTTTTAATGTTATCAGACAACAATTTTTATTTGGAGAGACTTTAAATATTTTATAAATGTGAATACTGCTAAAATTGCACAGTTTTGATCAAAAGTAAACCCTAAATGTTTTAGATTTTTTATCTTGTATATTATCATTATTATTATTTATGTATTTTACCTTGTGTATTATTTTTGCTATTGATGATTTTTAATTGTTGGAATATTTTTATAACTATAGATTAGTGGAATTTATAAAATATGGTAAACTTGGTCTGTTTTTTTTTTTTTTTTGCCATCACATAGCCAAAAAGCTGAAATGCAATAAACTCAATTCTCCCCCCCCACCCCCACCCCCCCCCTCTCTCCCTTCCTCCCTCTCTCTCTCTCCCAACAACTAGAATAAAATGGACTTATTTTATGCTTTTTCAGTTCTCAAGAAGCTTAAAATAAATATGTAATAATAGTCTGTCTCCAGTGCTAAAGTGGAACTAGAGATTTTTTTTTTCTCCTCATCTCACCACCCATTCAGCACTTAGTTGGTAATATATAGTTTCAGCAGATTTTCCAATGTGATCGTTCACAGTAGTTAAATCGCAGGATATGCAATGTTGATTTTAAAGTATAATTTATCATTTGCATGTGATTTTGATGCCTGTGATTGTAATTAATGACCTTAAAAGCATTTAGTCAAAAGAAATTGTACAATTTATGACTTTACCAACAGTTCATTTTATTGAATTATTTTAACTTTTTTCATTCAGTTACTGTAATTAAATACTGTTAAAATATAGTTTTTTTTTTATCAGATTTTTATCCGAACCCAGGAGGTTCATAAATTGTTTATTAGATTTTATGGAGATGCGTTCCAACTGCAGAATCCTCCCAATCGATCTAACATTATAAATTCTATCCAAATAGAGATATTGGGCTCTATTTTAACGATTTAGGTGCAAGGTCTAAGGAGCAGGGTGCAAAAGCATTAAGGGCATGTCTGAATCTACTTTTGATTTTTAAAAGATGGATAAATAAGCTCTGCGCCGCATAACATGTTCTAAACTGGGTTGTGCTTATTCTCCTAATGACTTCTGGGTGTGTTTTGAGGATTAACCAATCAGAGTCTCATCTCACATTCCCTTTAAGAGTCCGTTGCGTCACGCCATGGCACATTTACTATTTACATGGCGGACTTTGTAAGTGGAAAAACTGAACGCTTCACTAGCAAGAAAACGGTTAAACAGAGCATCTACACGCGAGAGGATAAATGAATGAGCCTCCTCCAATCAGCCTCTGTTTTCACTTTCTCTTTCTCTCTTCAGTGGATAAGGAAAAGGTAATGTACACGCCACTGAAGACATCCATTAGCCTACATAATTATTTTTGATTGTTAAGTGCAAAGATTTGTTTCAAAACTATCACTAAATTCAGTTTTAATATCCAGCAAACAAATAAATGAACAATAATAATGAAGAGTTCCTCAAAACAACAATGCACCAGCAATGCGCCTTAACACACCTCTTTTCCAGACCAGAACACCCATGAGTCCACAAAATGGCGCTAATGGATTTGCTATTTAAACAACATTGTGGAAAATTAAGATTGCATTGGTCTAAAAATAGCAACACATCAGGGCAAACACACCTTATTGTGCCAGGGTGTATGATAGGGCCCATTAAGTTATCTGGTGAAATTGTATTCATTTCGCAATTTATATTGCAAAATAAAAAAAATTCTCAGTGCTGGATTTTTCCAATATTGTGCAACCCTATTTAATAATACAGTAAAGGGTATTGTACAGTGCTGACATTTAATTACAATGTGAAATAACATTTATGCTTGAATAAGTCATTTGTTAGTATGATGGCTGATTTTTTAGCAGCCATTACTCCTGTCTTCAGTGCCATATGATCTTTTAGAAATGGCTCAACTCTCATTAAACATTTCTTAATATTTGTAGAAACTGCATTATAATGCAAGCTGCATCTATCGTAATTCTTCTTGTAATGTTACATTATGGTTATTTTCTGTTTTTTTTTTTTTTATTTATACAAATTTATACATTTACTTTGGTATGGGTTTTCTTTCAACATCTTGATGACCTACAAGCTTAAGAGAAACTATTTACTTATTTATTATTTACTTAAGTAAATTATTCGTTTAAATATTTGTTCTTTGCTTCAGGTTCATTATCATAGATAATCAGAAAATAAAGTTAACTCTAGAATAACTAACTGATAAGGAAAATATGTATTTTTGCAAATACCCCTCTCCTTTTCCCTTGACTATT